CCCCCCAGCCACTGGGGGCGTGCATTGTTCATGGCCTTCATACCCCTAACCATATGAGTGGCTCTTGTCTGAACCCTCTCGAGGTTGTCCACATCTCTCTTGAAGTGCGGTGCCCAAAACGACGCAGTACTCCAGCTGTGCCCTGACCAATGCCACATAAAGGAGAAGTACCACCTCCTTGGACCTGTTTGTCATGCACCTGCTAATGCATGATAAAGTGCCGTTAGCTTTACTGATCACTTTGTCATATTGATGACTTGTGTTCATCCTGTAGTCGACAGTGACTCCAAGATCCCTTTCCACTGCTGTACCGCTGAAAAGGTCCCCCCCCCCGAGCCTGTAAGCGTGTTGATGATTCCTTCTTCTTAGGTGCAGCTCCTTGCATTTGTCCTTATTGAACTGCATCCTATTCTGTTTCACCTGTTTTCCCAAGATCCGTCTGTCCAGATCCACTTGGATTCTTTCCCTACCTTCTGGTGTCAACTTTACCCCATAATTTGGTATTGTCTGTGAATTTGGACAGAGTGCTTTCCATGCCCTTGTCCAAGTCACTGATGAAGACATGGAACAGCACCGGTCCAGGGACTGAGCCTTGTGGGACTCCACTGCCCACATCTTTCCAGGTTGATACCATGTCCTGTGGTCCTTGCATTCTGGCAGTGGCTGCAACTGCTGCAGTGACAGTGCAGGCTTGGGCTTCTGCAGCTGGAGAATTGGCTTGCTGCACACCAGCTGGAACAGCCCTATAGCTCTGGCTGCCTTTTGGCCCCCCTTCAAAATCAGTACCTGCTCCCTCCCTTTCCTCCTCCCTCCCAATACATTACAGAGAAAAGTGATAGAGAAACCTAAAACTGGAAGATAGAGTGCTAAAGAGATTACAGGTAGCAATTCAGCACTAACAAGACATTGAGTTATAGACCTAGTAGTTTGCTAAGACTAATAAGTAGTTAAGTACTTTTCATTGTGGTTACTTGACAGATGCTGTTTCCCAAGAAGCAAAGAAGGATTTTAACCTTCCTGATCCATTCTCAAGCATTATTCTTAACCTTGAAAAAAGCTTAGGGGAAGCTTTGTCTTCTATTTTGGAGACTGAAATGAAAATCGCCTTTGGAAACCTTTGGATGGAGGTGATTACCTATATTGTCTTGCTTGATATTTGATACCTGCTTGATATTGTCTTTCTAATACTAAGAGTTGAAGAGTAAACTTTGGGCTCTGAGACATGTGTTTTTTTTTTTGTTTTTTTTTTTAATTGGCCGTGTTAATGACAAACAGGACTGATACCTTTAAAAGGCAAATCAAACCCACACTCTGCTTTTTTTGTTGCATTGTTTTCACAAAACTTAATTTTGCTAAAATATTTTTAAAGAATTATGAAACACTTTTTCTAACTTAAAAACTAAAAAGCAGCAACACAGCTGATACAATTATTATACTCGCTGTTCTTCCAGTACCTTTGTGCCAGTACTTAGAATTTTTAAGTTTTATTTAACCCATTAATGTGAAAGTGTGCTAATATGAAAGCAAATGTGATAGGAAACCCTTTATTTATCAATTTATTCTGTATAATTAAAGTTGAAATAAGACTAGCATTTTCATTAGTGGCTTTCTAGCAGTATCTTCAAATCAGGATAGAGAATTAGTTATGTCAGTTTAACACAAATTCTGGTATGTATGATGTTAGGTTTCTCTTTATATGTCTTGATACATGTAGGACAGCTTCAGTGTAGGCTACAGCGGTAGATGCATACTTGTCCTCACCCCAGCCCTACAGTCTTCCTTGCTATACTTGTAGGGCTCAACTGTACTTAACTTTACGAACTATTCCTTCAAGTAATTTGGTCTCTAAGCTAATGCCCTCTTCTGAGAATGTGCCAAAATGGATGTCAATGTTGATGTCTGTGATGGTGTATGGAAAGCTTTCTACTGGGTGTTGGGCTAGGACAGGGGTCTGCAACCCCTGGCACACGTGCCGGGCATGGCACGTGAAGCTATTTTGCTCAGCACACCACAGCCAGCCCCAGCTCTGGGTAGCTGCTGCCAGCGACGGAGCCCAGGCTGCTTCCAGCAGGTGGCTGCAAGGGGCCCAGGCTTCGTGGTTGGTAGCAGCTACAGAGAGCCAGGGCTGGCTGGGCTCTGGGCAGCTGCAGCAAATGTGGCAGGGCAGTGGGGAGCTCAGAGCAGGCAGCTTTCTGTGCCCCCCACTGTGCCCTGCCGCGCTGGGTTCTAACACTACTTTGCAGAAGTGGTGAGGGCAGCACAGCGGGGAGCACTGCTGGCATGTGCTGCCTCCCCAGAGCCCGGGGCCAGGTCTGGGGCTGGGAGGTAGCTGGGGCTGGGGCAGAGATGCAGCAGATATTTGCAGCTGGCCCAGGTTCTGGGTAGCTGCTGACAGCCATGGAGCCCGGGCTGGGGGCAGGGGCCTTGGGTGGGGGGCAAGGAACACAAGCAGGGCATCCTGCCATGTACCCCCTGCCCTCATTTTATTTTTCTGGCATGCCAGCACTCTGGCACCTTCCAAGCTAGGCATTGTAGGGTTTTTCGGCACTCTGCCCAAAAAACGTTGCCTACCCCTGGGCTAGGAACACGTGCTCATTCTGCACAGGCCACCGAACACCCATTTGACTTCTTATGGTCACTGCTAACCTTGAAGGATTTTTGAACCAGTAAACTAGAAGCAAAAGATTTTTGCATCTACTTTTTTCAATCCTGTGAGCCATCCACTTGCATAGAATATCACACAGCATATTTTGATATTGATGACTATAATAGTATACAGTATTACTGAGGTAAAATACAAATTTTCAAAATGTATACAAGTTACTAATGATAGTTTACACTTTTGTAGTATATACCAAAATGTTGTTGTGTTCAAGAATTCTCAAAACGCATTACAAACACCAGTATCTCGTTTTCACCAGGGTTTAGGGAAGCTACTACTATTCCTTTTTTCAGATAGGGAGCCTGAGGTATAGCGAGTGAGTTTTTTGTTAGTTTACACAGGAGTTTTGGCAGAGCTGGAATTTTGGTATTTTGACTGTAGCCTTAAGTCCATCTTTTCTGTTGTTCAATGTTGTAACTCTTTGTGAAGATGTTCCCCCCAAAAATCTCTTTTGTGAAGATGTTTATAATATTTTTTTCTTGGGAGTAACAGTGAAGTGCTGTACTGTCTGTATAGGAAGAAAGATGCCAGCTCTCTGAGTTAAAAAATTAATCTTTCTTGTTTAAACTCAAAAATCTTCTGGGTATATTATACATGAAATATGTCCTTCAAGGAATCCAGATAACATTTTTATACTCATGCATAGGGACCTATTTTAATTCATGGTCAGATAAAGGAATTTTTGTAGCTTAGTTGTGGCATGAAGAGCCAATTTCACAGGCACTTCCTAGCGGCCCTGCCCCTTGCTGCTGATTGGCAGAGAGGCCCCGGGGGGTGGGAGGAGGAGGGATGAGGGGATGTCCACCATCGTGGCTGCTGGTTGACCTTTGTGCCACCCTGCTAGCCAGTTCCTGCCCCTTCTGCGTGGGCTGCAAGGTAGCGAGGATTGCTGGCTCCCACTGGGGAGCCAGCATTTTGTTCTTACTAAGTTTTTTGTAGACAATTTTGCAGTTTCTGTGATATCGCAAATTAAGAGATCCCTACCCATGCACTGTGTCATACAAAGGTTAAACACCTTCTTGTATCACAGCAGAAACTAGATACCATTTAGAAAGTTAACTGAACAAGACAAGGATTTGTTATTTTATAGGTGCCCACCTCACCAGGAAAAAATTGCCTTGTTTGTCATTTTGGAGAACACCTTGGGTTTGTTTCAGCAAACATAAATAGCAGTAGAGAATAGCAGAGATAAAATGTACAAAGAGTGAATTTGTATTGAAAGAGAGTGCATTTTTTACTTCTCAATTTTAGATACTGTACCTAAAACCCCCATGGACACTAGCAGACTTGCTACAGTGCTATAAAAAACACTGGTTTGCTGTATTTGGACAGGTTGTGCCAAGGAGATTATTTGCAACTATTGAATACCTACACAATCATCTTTGTAAGGGTAAGAATCTTATGCGACTTCTATCATAATAAACTTCTAAACATAACCCCCAGATTTAGCTCAGGGCTTTCTCATCACAGATGTCGGCATTGCGGAAAGGTAGGTGTATGCTATTTCTCTGCTTTTCATTTAAGAATAATGTGAATTACGCAGTCCAGGGGTTGTCAACCAGGGGTACATATTCATACCCCTGGGGGTACTTTGAAAGGTCCCATAGGATATGTGGGGGCAGAGTGCTGCCACCCTGTGCTGCTGCCTCATCTCCTGCCCCCCCAGCTCTGCATCTGCCTGTTCACCCCCCTTCCCTACTCCCAGTACACTTATTAAGGGGGGGCTATCAGGGGTACACTTATTAAAAAAAGGTTGAAAACTCCTGACACTGTCTATTGGAAGAAGTTATACCTTGGAGAAAATTTTTATTTTAGATTTTCCTACAGGGTAATTCCAGCTTAAGAAAACTGGGATTCTTGCCAGCATCTGAATGACATTTTGGACAAAAAGAACTTTCGATATTAAATTATGCCAAAAATCAGAGGGGAGGAGGAAACTAAAGTGTTCTCAGATATGTCCAGATACTACAAAAGAGGGGAATATTTTCACCACTACTCATGAAAGTTAAAACATAAAGGTTTTTTCAGATTTTTGGTTTGTCTCAATTGTGGTAGTATTCTGGTGCTGTTTGTTTTGAAAAGGAAATGGAATTATGCCTACTGAACCTTGTAAAGTACTTTTGACATTTCAGTCCTTAAATCCATAGGATTTTCATATTCTCTGAAAGTAATCTTTCATAATGTGTTTCTTAATGTAATATTTTGGATTGTTTACATTTCTAAGTAGTATGGTAATGTCTTTGAAATGATAGTCCTGGTAATGATTTATATTTGGGTCCACCTTGGAATTGCCAGTTTCCTTATTGCTTGCTTAATTTTAATAAACTACATTAGGTTCTTGGGGCTTATTATTTTTAGCTTCTGTAAAAGTATTTCATTTTCCATCTTAATGTCTTTACCAGGAAAAATGATTGATTCCTTAATAGCTGGTACCCTGCTCCGGGAATCCAAAAAACTATTACATGCTTTCAGCTCAAGATCAGACTATGATGGTGTACTTCCCCAGGCTTTTACTCAGGTGAATAAACTGCTCCAGTCATTTGAAGAGGTAAGCTGCATGTCATTAAATGTTGGCCTAAAACAAATTTTAGATTTGCTGAGAACTCACACTACAAACTAGCTAAGGATTTGCTGCGGGTAGGTCTTGCCTGACCAATCTCATTTCCTTTTATGACTGGGTGACTTATCACCTGGACAAGGGGGAAGAGAGCGACGTTGTATATCTTGACTTTAAACAAGCCTTCGATCTGGTATCCCACAATCACCTCTTGGCTAAACTGGCTAACTGTGGCCTCGACCTCACCACAATCCGCTGGCTGAGGAATTGGCTCCGTGGTAGGACCTGGAGGGTGATGGTTTATGGGAGCCAATCGTCTTGCTGCGCTGTGACCAGTGGGGTCCCTCAAGGGTCTGTCCTAGGGCCTATACTATTT